AGAAAATTTTTATATTACTGGAGGATGTTTTGACCAACTCCTAACCAGATTGCATGTTTTTGGACTTGAATTTGGCCGTAGGAAATTTTAATGCTCGACATCCAATTTTTGCAGTAACACCCAGAGGCATACTTGTTAAGAAATCAGTAATACTTTTACATTTTTATTGGGAAGACTATCAGGAATAAAAAATGTAAACATCATTTTAAGAGTCGGTAAATATCATAATTCAAATTAAATTGCAATAAAAACAAACAATGTTATCGGTTCCTTCTCATTTTTCTACTGCCTTCGTGAATCAATTATGTCATGTAATTTAACATTGTGATAAAACAATACGTTACTCCTGTCTGGCATACCAAATCACCTGTGGAAATCTCATTGTGTTATCACAATTGTTGACAAATAGAAACTGAATAATTCGGTTCGGTGGAGATAACTGGCTATAGAACTGGGAGCTAACATGTGTCTTGAACTTTTTTATCATATGAAGTTTTTGGACTCTCCTTGGAGACAAATAGTTTAATTGAATAATGATTAGTGATCAGCACCCTAGCAACTGATGAAACAGCTTCGCCACAATGATGGGCGAGTCATTTGTTGATAGCTTATCTCCCGTACTGTGGTTTTTCTCGGATTCACTGCTGGATATTTCGAAATCACTTTTTTTGAACACGAGAAAGAATGACCAGAAGTGATGAGAGAATACTAGATATAACACAACTATTTTTTTCTGTATCGTGTAATAAATTAAAAGTTTTCTGAGTGTTGCTTATGGAGATGAATTTCATTTTAGAACTGTCGAGTGGACAACTTGTGTATTGTACGCCTTCAAGTTTGGGCTTTATGGAGGATGAGTTGACTAAGACTATAGTCCCTGAGTCTGATTGAAGGTCGGGAGACTAAAGACCGAGGCAGAGGAGAGACTGAGGAACTGCATCAGTAAAAGAAAGAAAATGGGAGTGAGTAGAGAATAATGCTAGCCGCGATATGGGGTGAAAATCTTAGGGTAAGGCCTTGTGCAGCACTCACTCGCAGGGGGGTTGATGGATAAGGTCACAGCTAGTATTGTTCACCATTAATAGCCAGAGCCTCTCGGCATTACTACCGCTATGTAGATCTCCCTTGGCTTATGTTGCCATCCTGTACTTGACATACATCACCTGGAGAGCTTAGTTTAATAACCAATAGTAACACTAAAGGGCAATGGTGAACATCTTGACACTTATTGTTCTTTTTATTAGTTAACGTTCAGTTATCGCTGTGATCATCATTAGATCAATATATAGAAACGAAACTACAGTAATCTAATAAACTAAACACACACATGTGTTAATATAAAAAACAAGCGATTATATCAACAACAAATTTAAATGACGTTACCGAAATAATGACCAGAGAGAAGTAGAACAGTGAAATTAATAGTAGTCATGACAAAAACAATCACTTAGTAGAATACACAATCAAGTTAAATTATAGGTAGAGGAGTTTGACTGACTCTTCTGGAGAGAACTTTGGCGTGGAGGGACTCGATTATACGCAGATCCATGTCTAGGCCGGAGTATAGTATGAGTAGGACATTTCATGACACTTAGACTGGCAAAAAAAACAAACTCATTTTTCATACTCCCAAAATATAACAGGAATTAAAGATTTATATTTGTCACTCCATATTGCAATCATATCACCTTACCTTTACCGGCTAAAGCTCGTGTTATCTATTATAAAGTAACTAGATTAGCGACTCGGGGAAATGTATCCATTTTAAAAATATAGTTTGATTTTTTGGAAGGAGTATTGTGAGAGTTATGAGTGTTATTAATCCTGCTCTGAATTATGCGAGTCTGCCGCATATTTATGATACATTAAATGTTTTTGTCTCCATGACCATGAAAGTAGTTATAATTTGTAAATATAGTAAAGATGTTAACGTCCAAATAAAATAAATGTTAATACATATATTGCCTTTATTGCTCTAAGTGAATACCTTTACTTTCATATCAACATTTCTTATAACGAATTTTACGTTCTTCTTGTCTCTGTTCGTCTAGGTACCGCCAGTGGTCTCCTTAAACCACGTGAACTGTAACTCTGGCGTGACATCATCAACAAGACTCGCCACACTCCCGGTTGGCAACAGCTCGCGATGACTTTCGTTCAGGACAGGTGAACCTTCAGGTGGGGTTTTTCTGATTAATTATCAGTTGCAGGGCCATTGACCTGAGTGATTCCTGTAGTTTTACCAATTGATTTTTTTTCGTTCATTGATATAATTAGTTTTTTTTTCATATTTAATGTTTATTATTTTGAGGAGAATAAAAAATATTGTACTTACATTAGTTGGACGCTAATGGACATGATAATGGCGCCAGTTGAACTGGCCCAGTTTCCGTTCACGTCTCTCATAAAGGAGAGTAAATTCTCCTTTCACACACAATAGCATATAAAAAATTCCAAGAAAATTAGAAAACAGTTTTATAGGCGACTAGTTGAAAGTACATTATGTTAACACTTTAATGGCAATTTAATGTTTATAATATAATGTATTACTGAACTTTAACAACTAAACATGTATGCAAGATTAGTATATACATTAGCCTACATTACTTATTAACTATTAGAAATTTAGAGATACATTTTTCTATTTGGCAGTCTATTCTTTGGGACAACAATAACACCTTCATGGCAGAAGTCTTGGAGGGGGCATAAATATTCATGACGTATCATTATCCCTAATGATATATAAAAGAAGGCTGTATTAAACTCTTGCAGTGACAATAAAATCATTTGCAGATTCTTAGTTTGAATTTAGAGTAAGTACGTCATCTGAGAGAGCACTGTCCTTTATCAATGACATCTTGAAGTCATTTGATGACAGTCAGTATTCTTGGACATATCCCAAAACTGCTTTGCTTCGTATCTATCTAACTGCTATAGCTGCACGTCTTCAATAACCCTTGTTAATAATTTATGACGCCAAGACCAGCACAGTACTACTCTTGTCTTACCTAGTGATGTTGTCCACTCCAGCACAATTGTAAGTGCATTTTATTTGTAGATTTGTATACCAGTCACGCAGATACTCATTCCTTAATAAGAACCATAAATAGTAAATTCACCTGAAGCCAGAACTGGATATTTTGTAATAAACTGAATCTTGATAAAGCCCTTTACAAGATCATTCACAGAAGATTAAGCTTACCCTCAGGTTTTGGCCCCTTGTACATTGGTAGTATACAGTAGTCCTGAAACGTGAAGAAAATACTTATATCCTTGGGGTTGTTCTTGATGATCAACTTGACTGGCTTCACTTGCATGTCATTCGCAGTAAAACCAATAAACAGTAAAGCATCGAGTACCTCACCACTCGTCAGCCATTCGTCTTGCAACAATAACAGAAATTTACTGTTATCTTATTTACCAACATTTGATCCACTATGAAATGCTATGGGGGTCTGTGAGCTGTGGGGACTATGACCTACTTCAGTATAACCAACCACACAAACGATCAGCTTCCTAAATAGATGTTAAAATTTGAGGATATAAATATTTACGCTTTGCTGTATTATATATATATATATATATATATATATATATATATATATATATATATATATATATATATATATATATATATATATATATATATATATATATATATATATATATATATATATAATTATTTTTTTTTTTTTTTTATAAATCACTTGATCAAGAATAACTATATCCAGTTTTGGACGACTCTAAAGTATGATTTAGGGACTGTGGCAAAATTACTAATAATTTGTAATCCAATAAAATTCTAATTACTTGTCGAAAATACACTAGTCGAGTATAAGTAAAATTACTATCATAAAATGGAATATAGTAAAAAATATTAAATTAATGATGACTGAAAATTTATTAAAAGTAGAAAATACTTATTATGACCAATTATTTATTGTTGTTCAATGTCTGTTTTTATGAACATAAAACAATTATGAAAAACAGGTAATCTAATAACTCTTTCAGAACATAAAAGTTTAAATGGCATTTTTAAAGATACAGTTGGGAAAAATGGAGCATGTTCTGAGGTCACCTTAAACAAAATTCCCCAGCACTGTCTCTTAAACAACGTTTCTTTGATCCACACAACTGCCATCTTCTAGTCCAAGGTATTTTTTGTCTACCAAGGTAATAGAATGCCATTAGAATACTGGGTATCAAACATAAAGAAAAGATTCACTTTACTATAAAAATCACTGTTGAAGAAGAGAAGCAATTCACTCAGTAGTATATCATATTAAACAATTAACACCGCCACTCAGAATTTGCTGGATTTTAATTGCACCAACAAAATGATGTTAAAAGTATTTGTCATTAATACGTGAAAATGGGTGTAACAAATAGTTCTGTATAACTAAACATTCACTTTCTATTTTACCATCCTCCCAATTCCAAATACGTCTCCACCTGAATCGTCACCAGCGTCATAATCATCTTCACCCCCTGTAGTGTTGTTGGAAGATTTGAATTGAAAGATAAAAATAAACGAAAAAAAGTGCCCAGATGATACTAAATAGTATATAATAATTCCTTAAGATAAATTTATATTACATTATATATTTTTCGGGTGCTCTCAGGAGTAGGTGGGGGCCTCACGGCTCAGTCAATATTTTTGTTAATGTTAATTTTATCTGCGTTTTACTGATTAAGTAAACTGTTGCAATATATGTGCAAATATCAGTAAAATATAAAAATGCGATATTATCCCGTCTCTGCGTAATCAAATACGTTCCTTATTGGTTATTTTTAGTTAAATTCAACGAACACAAACTGTTCCCCCAAAATAAGAGCAGAATTTAAATAAAATTATACAACTTTTTTTTTCCATTGGTCTAAGCAAAAATTGGGTGAAGTTGGGGGCTTTAGAAGGGGGTGGTACTGCTGAGAGCGACCAGCTGACTGGGTGACCCTGAACTCTGGCTGGGGTTACACCGTTGCCGGTATAAAAGAGCTTGTTGGATGTTGGTCCTCATACTACTTCTGACAAGATGAAGTTCCCCGTGATATTCCTCTGCCTCACCGCCCTCACATGGTAAGACTTTATTATATTACAATAATTGTGGTTATATACTTGACTGACTTCGTGCCAAACATGCAGTAACTCTAACTGACAATTATTACGACAACACTTTCCTAGTTTGGTTGGATGAGCTCAGAGAAGGTTATCAAGGTTGCAGTTATGTTCGTGAGCTTTTACATTGCAAATTCCGATGAAGAATTTACTCAGTTGTTCTCATGCCCTGAACATTATATTTTCGTATCAAGTATATCTGACACTCGTACATAAAAACTTGTTACTAGTATTTTATTTATAATTAACTGAGAAAATATACCCAATATCGTGTACTTGAGAGCAGACAGGGAATAAAACATTCTTCCTGTACACATCTTCCCATGTGCACCTATCAACATTAGATACACAAATCTGCGGCTCTCGTGCAAATTTCCTGCGTAAAGGAAACAGCCTCAATTAGCCCTTTATATCAATTCATATGATTGCTCCTCTACGTCGAGTTTAAAGGGTAAGAAATATTTGTGTGCATCATCATCACAATTACTACTCTGATTCTCTATTATGTATGTGTATGTGTATTAAATCTAGACTAAATTTATATACGCACTACCATAAATAATAAGCCACGAAGACTAAGCTTGACGAAGGAGTAATATGTAATATGCATCAAGGCTGTAATAGTCTCACAAATCATCCGACATCCAGGCAAGGAGAACAGATGATGGCAAGGATAACAACCCACGCCATCGAGCAAATCAACGAATATGAAAAAAAATGGAAAATTAAAACCAATACACAGAAACTAATGATAATACATATTGCCAGAAAAACCCTACACCAATCACAGTCAACAACGTACCTATACAATACTCCAACCAAGGTAAAATTGGGACTCACAATAACAAGAACAGGCATAGCAAAACACGTAAAACAACGCAAACAGACTGCCCAATCACAACTCACGAAACTAAGACGATTCAGCAAAATGGACACCAAAATTCAACTACACCTATACAAAGCACTTATCCGCCCACACCTAGAATATCCACCAATACCACTCAACACGATCAGCAAATCCAGTCAACTTAAACTTCAAGCAGTACAAAACAAAGCTATCCGTAGAGCATCAAAGCAACTTCCGCCATACACCACCAAAATACAAGAACTTCACGAATTATTCAATATCGAACCACTGAACATACGTACACACAGCCAAGCACAGAGAGAGGACCAAACTTGAAGAGATGGAGGACCCATTATTCTCCAAGTTAAAGAAGAAGGAACAACTAAAACCCACAGCTGGTGGCCTAAGAGTCAATGCTGACATTGCAGAACAAGAACCACTCTACACAAAGAGGTAAACAAATAACACTACCACCGGACAAATAAAAATTAACACCCATACAATAATGAATATCTAGCTAGCTTAACTCCTCCTCCCTCCTCAACCTCCTCCCGAGGACGGCTCAGCTGCGCGCGGCCACCACCCAATCATATCAACTCGTCTCCGCTAGGTGGACAGCCCACCTGCTATCTACCCCTCCCACTCTTCTTCCCGTTTCCACGCTTTACTTCTCTCTCTCCTTTCCCAGTGCAAAGTCATTTGCCACTTTACTTCATTATCATCATCATCATCATCATCATCGGTCCTCATACTACTTCTGACAAGCAAGATGAAGTTCCTCGTGAGCCTCTTCTCCCTCTCCGTCCTCACGTGGTAACACTTTCATACATTATAAAAGTTTGAGTTATACAATTGAACTTGGAGGTAAAGATTGAATTAGAGAGACAATTACTTTTGATATTCTGTGTTATGTCGACCAGGATTTATTAAACGGTTCCCATATTTCACTGAACAAATTGAATAAAATCACCTAAATATACAGTACCTGCCCATAAACGCTCAGTCCTAATGCTAATGAGTCCATACATGTTCTTTACTATTTTATTTATAACTTACTGAAAAAATACTTAACATACTAGAGAACAGGAAGGAAATGAAACGCTCTTACTGCACATATCTTCGTGTGCGTGTATCTTCTAATTTGTGACTAACATGCTTTTCCAACGCCATTATTTTTTAATAACACTTAAACTAATTCAAAAATAAAAAGGGTTTAAATGAGGACATTACCTTGTGGTAGGGCGCAAGAAACTCCAGAGTGTGACTGTGGCGCCTTCATTACTGAGGCTCATGACGAGATAGAAGTGTTCGCCATGGACGCCTTCGAGGTGGAAAACTGTGAAGATGAAACTGACTGCCATGACAAATGCCGCACAGAGGTAAGTTTTTACTTTCATGTACTTATATATTTTCCACAGAAGTGTCAAGATCAGACTTCGTGGAAGTTTACGATAAGATTTTGTTTCGCAAATTAAATCCTGAGTTGATGATTCTGCTCTTCAAATACAGATTCTAGTTTTACATATTCCTCTTAACTTTCGTTGACTTACAATCGCCTAATCGTAGGATTATTTATTTTTTAATTCTGAGGGTAATAATATTTTTGTCGTATTGTTTACAGTGGAACACACAGACCAGCGAAGGAGACCTGAATTTCGAGCTCCCCGACGGCAAGACGGTGGGCCAGACTATGTGTGACGACCTGGCTGAGGACTTGAGGCTGTTCGTTGGTCCAGGTAAGTCTTTCTTTCATAGGGCGAGATTGATAAACAGTAGGAGAAAAGAAAAAGGGTTGGGGGGGTATAGAGATAGTAAGAAAAGAAACAACGAACAAGAAAGAGTTATATTGATCATGCTATAAAAATTATCAACATATACAACACATGCACACAAAATATAGCATATACTGTGTATATATATATATATATATATATATATATATATATATATATATATATATATATATATATATATATATATATATATATTGATACTTCCCATAGTATTTAATTTTAAATGATTTATGCATACTCTAATAATCTGTTATAAATCAACACACAGGTGTACCTCTACGTGAAACTGTGTGAAGATCCATGGGAAGATGACGGTGAGGCCACCAAGGAAATGCTGTGCTGTACTGACGGCAAACACGAAGCGTGCTAATATATCCCAGTGCATCACCAGCCCCTGAGGCCTTAGGTTTTCTTTCGGCAGCAACCTAAGCTTAAATGCACCCAAATTTATGTTCATATAACAACTTACACCTTACTAACAGTGACTCCTTGCTCGAACTTTCAACTGAATCATTGTATCGACACAGCTGCTTCTCCTGACAAACATTACACATTAATTGTCAATAGACATGTGAAGTTGTGAACCCCAAAATTTACATATACCCAGTGACCATCGGAGGTTGCTACCCAAACCGCTTCCCGCAGCTAACTACAATAATTGATGACTTGAACAGCTACGGGATCTAACTTCCAACCACTGTCACATACTGTACACACCACCTTATGGGCTGAATTAAATATTTACATCAATAAAATAATGCCAATTCGTTGAGTTTCCTAAACCTCGAAAATAAATTCAGAGAACTTACATCATGAAGGACGTGGTGGAGAACAGAAGAACTTTATCATCGTCTAAAGTTCTCTCACACCAATACTATGATGTTGTTCTCTTCACTTGCTTCCAACACTTAATTGCATCGACGTATAATACTTGTCTTTATTCAGTTTCCCACACACAGACTTCAGCCATTGTAACAACTACGACCATGATTATAACAACCACGACCATGATTATAACAACAACGACTATGATTATAACACCTACGATTATGATCATAACCACGACCATGATAATAACAACCATGACCATGATTATAACAACCACGACCATGATTATAACAGCAAGACTAGCAATGTAACAACCGACAATGATTTTAACAACCACGACCGTGATTATAACCACGACCATGATTATAACAACCACTACTAGTTATAACAACGACGACCATGATCATAACCGACCATGATTATAACAACCATGATAGTTGATTATAACAACCACGACCATGATTTTAACAACGCCACGACTATGATTATAACAACCACGGCTATGATTATAACAACCACGACCATGATTATAACAACCACGACTATGATTATAACAACCACGACCATGATCATATAACCACGACCATGATTATAACAACCACACCTATGATTATAACAACCACGACCACGATATAACAAGCACGACCATGATTATAACAACCACGACTATAATTATAACAACCACGAGCATGATTAAATACAGGCGCGAACTAGGCACGAAGGGCCCACGACCACTTGTTCTTTACTATATAGTAGGCCTGTATCTGGGCTCTCAGGGGTTCCTAGTGTATTATCGTGGCTCCCACTGGCCTAGTATTTCGTGCTTAACTATGGTACCATCTGGGCTCTGGCACCTATTGTAGTCCACACTGTATAGTATGCCTGTATCTTGGGCTCCCAGGATACCTATTGTATAGTAGGCCTGTATCTGGGTTCACAGGGCACCAATTGTATTCCCTACTGTATAGTATACCTGTATCTGGGAACCCAGGGGCCCAGGCAGGGGCGCTAGCGACCCCAGGGGTTAACCCAGGGACAGCAGCACTCCACTTAACCGCGGCGCCCCGAGAGTCCCTGTCGAGAACAGCATTGCTCCCAGGGGCCCTACGAGGGACGACGGCACCTGTAGGTGCCTGCGAGGGGTTGTTGCTGCCCCCTGGGGCTTTCCCAGGGACAGCAGGTCTGCCAGGTGCCTCTCATGAACGGTGGCGCCCCTAGGGTCTCTCTCGAGGCACAGTATCGCTCCCAGGGGCCTACCAAGGGACGACGGCACCTCTAGGTGCCCGTGAAGGGTCGCTGGCCCCCCCAGTGGCGTTCTCGGGGACAGCAATCCCTTACTGACTGTTCATTGGTCTATTCTTTTTCCCGCCAAATTACAGCCAATAGGAGAAGAGAACAGTCAGTCAACACAACACCACAACTTATGTTTTCCTGTTCAATATTGTTTCTGTTACCGTCTTCAGAATTCTATGATACTGGAAATGTGATGGGAAGTGTATTTATTTAACGTGGCATCTCCCAGAGTTCTAAAGAGCGCAAAAACTACTGCACCAAGGGGCCCAACAGGTATGGCGTTCCCAAGGCACCTATTGTGTTCCCTCCTGCATGATCGGCTTGCATCTGGGCTATTAGGGGCCCTAGTGTATTCTTTACTGTATAGTAGGCCTGTATCTAAGCTCACAGGGCACCTGTTGTATTCCCTACTGTATAGTATGCTTGTATCTGGGCTCCCAGGGGCCCTGGCAGGGGCGCTAGCGACCCCAGGGGCTATCCCAGGGACAGCAGCACTCTGCTAAACGGCGGCGTTTCTAGGGTCCCTGCCAGGGGCGCTGGCGCCCTCGGGGACTCTCTCGAGGATAGCATTGTTCCCAGGAGCCCAACCAGGGACGGCGGCACCTGTAGGTACCCGTGAAGGGTTGTTGCCGCCCCCTGGGAATTTCCCAGGGAAAGCAGCGCTGCCTGATGCCTCTCATGAACGGCGGTGACCCTAGGCTCCCTGCCAGGGGCGCTGGCGCCCGCGTGGACTCTCTGGAGGATAGCATTGTTCCCAGGAGCCCAACGACGGACGACTGGGTCTCTACGTGCCTGTGAAGGGTCGCTGCCGCCCCCAGGGGCTCTTCCAGGGACAGCAGTGCTACCAGGAGCCTCTCATGAACGGCGGCGCCCCTAGGGTCTCTCTCGAGGAGCAGTATTGCTCCCAGGGGCCTACCAAGGGTCGGCGGCGCCTCTAGGTGCCCGTAAAGGATCGCGTTACACTTAGGCTCTCTCGGGGACAGGTAACCTTTACTGACTGTTCATTGGTCTATGTTTTTTCCTGCCAAATTACAGCCAACCAAGGCAAAGAAGAGAACAGTCAGTCAACACAACACCACCGCTATGTTTCTGTTCGATATTGTTTCTCTTCAGAATGCTATGATACTGGAAATGTGATGGGCGGTGTATTTATTTAATGTGGCATCTCCCAGAGTTCAAAAGAGCGCAAAAATTACTGCACTAAGGGGCCCAACAGGTCTGGCATTCCCAGGGCACCTATTGTGTTCCCTCCTGTATGATAGACCTGTATCTGGGCTCTCAGAGGCTCTAGTGTATTCTTTACTGTATAGTAGGCCTGTATCTGGGCTCACAGGGCACCTGTTGTATTCCCTACTGTATAGTATGCTTGTATCTGGGCTCCCAGGGGCCCAGGCAGGGGCGCTAGCGACTCCAGGAGCCATCCCAGGGACAGCAGCACTCTGCTGAACGGCACCGCCCCTAGGGTCCCTGCCAGGGGCGCTGGCGCCCCCAGGGACTCTGTCGGGGATAGCATTGTTCCGAGGAGCCCAAGGAGGGACGATGGCGCCTCTAGGTGCCAGTGAAGGGTCACTGCCGCCCCCAGGGGCTCTCCCAGGGACAGCAGCGCTCCCAGGTGCCTCTCATGAACGGCGGCGCCCCTAGGGTCTCTCTCGAGGAGCAGTATCGCTCCCAGGGGCCTATCAAGGGACGGCGGCGCCTCTAGGTGCCCGTGAAGGGTTGCTGGCACCCCCAGGGACTCTCTCGGGGACAGCAATCCCTTACTGACTGTTCATTGGTCTATTCTTTTTCCCGCCAAATTACAGCCAATAGGAGAAGAGAACAGTCAGTCAACACAACACCACCGCTTATGTTTTCCTGTTCGATATTGTTTCTGTCACCGTCTTCAGAATGCTATGATACTGGAAATGTGATGGACGGTGTATTTATTTAATGTGGCATCTCCCAGAGTTTAAAAGAGCGCAAAAATTACTGCACTAAGGGGCCCAACAGGTCTGGCATTCCCAGGGCACCTATTGTGTTCCCTCCTGTATGATAGACCTGTATCTGGGCTCTCAGGGGCTCTAGTGTATTCTTTACTGTATAGTAGGCCTGTATCTGGGTTCACAGGGCACCAATTGTATTCCCTACTGTATAGTATGCTTGTATCTGGAATCCCAGGGGCCCAGGCAGCTGCGCTAGCGACCCCATTGGCTAACCCAGGGACAGCAGCACTCCGCATAACAGCGGCGCCCCTAGGGGCCCTCTCGAAGAGCAGTATCGCTCCCAGGGGCCTACCAAGGGACGGCGGCGCCGCTAGGTGCCCCTGAAGTTTCACTGGCGCCACCAGGACCTCTCTCGGGGACAGCATTCCCTTACTGACTCTTCATTGGTCTATTCTTTTTCCCGCCAAATTACGGCCAATAGGAGAAGAGAACAGTCAGTCAAGACAACACCACAACTTATGTTTTCCTATTCGATATTGTTTCTGTTACCGTCTGCAGAATGCTATGATACTGGAAATGTGATGGGCAGTGTATTTATTTAACGTGGCATCTCCCAGATTTCTAGGGAGCGCAAAAACTACTGCACCAAGGGGCCCAACAGGTATGGCGATACCAGGTCACCTATTGTGTTTCCTCCTGTATGATAAGTCTGTATCTGGGCTCTCAGGGGCCCTAGTGCATTCTTTACTATATAGTAGGCCTGTATCTGGGCTCTCAGGGGCTCTAGTGTATTCTTTACTGTATAGTAGGCCTGTATCTGGGTTCACAGGGCACCAATTGTATTCCCTACTGTATAGTATGCCTGTATCTTGGCTCCCAGGGGCCCAGGCAGGGGCGCTATCGACCCCAGCGGCTAACCCAGGGACAGCAGCACTCTGAGGAAGGGCGGCGCCCTTAGGGTCACTGCCAGGGGCGCTGGCGCCCCCAGGGACTCTCTCGAGTACAGCATCGTTCCCTGGAGCCCAACGAGGGACGATGGCGCCTCTACGTGCCCGTGAAGGGTCACTGCCGCCCCGAGGGGCTTTCCCAGGGACAGCAGCGCTGCCAGGTGCCTCTCATGAACGGCGGTGCCCCTAGCGTCTCTCGAGCGGAGGTATCGCTCCCAGGGGAGCTAACTTGACGGACGACTGCGTCTCTAGGTGCCCGTGAAGGTCGCTGCCGCCCCAGGGGCTCTTCCAGGGACAGCAGTGCTACCAGGTGCACCCTCTCGCCAGACAGCTAGGGGTCTCTCTCGAGGAGCAGTATTGCTCCCAGGGGCCTACCAAGGGACGGCGGCGCCTCTAGGTGCCCGTAAAGGATCGCTGGCGCCCCCAGGGTCTCTCTCCGGGACAGCAATCCCTTACTGACTGTTCATTGGTCTATTCTTTTTCCCGCCAAATTACAGCCAATAGGAGAAGAGAACAGTCATTCAACACAACACCACCGCTTATGTTTTCCTGTTCGATATTGTTTCTGTCACCGTCTTCAGAATGCTATGATACTGGAAATGTGATGGGCGGTGTATTTATTTAATGTGGCATATCCCAGAGTTCAAAAGAGCGCAAAAATTACTGCACTAAGGGGCCCAACAGGTCTGGCATTCCA